GCCGCGCGCCCTAGCTGCGCTGCGCTGCGCTGCGCGCCTCGCCGCGGCTCGCGCGCCACCATGGGCTGCTTCTGCGCCGTGCCCGAGGAGTTCTACTGCGAGGTGCTGCTCCTGGACGAGTCCAAGCTGGCGCTCACCACGCAGCAGCAGGGCATCAAGGTACGGCCGGCGGCAAGCGGCGCGGGTCCGTGCGCGGGCGGGCGCGCACGGCGCTTCAGCTGCGGAGGCTCCTGCGGAGGCAGGTGCACGCGGAGCCGGGCTCCGCGCGTGTCCCGCGCGCGGGGCGCCCCGGGCGCCGTTGGAGCGCGGCTCCCGTGCGGGCAGGGCAGGGAGCGAGGACCGCTGAAGTTATCCTGGGAAATAGCCCGTCTGCCCGAGCTGAGGCTTGGAGGAGTAAAGTGCGCCCTGCAGCAGGCTGCAGTGTGCCAGCCTGAACGGTTAAAGTCCCATGAAAACAACCGAGGGGAAAAGAAAAAACTGGAGAGGGGGAGTGGGACCAGAATAAATCTGACTGTAACCTGTCACGCTGCCGTCTCCCCGTCTCTTGAGGATTGACAGGATTTGCAAGGTCGGGTGTCGGTAAATAGGCTTTTTTTATCACAGAACGGTAAGCAAATTTCAAGGCAGGCACTGAACTCAAACACAGACACTCAGAAATTTCTGTAGAGCTTAGCTTTGTAGGTGAAGATGTGGATGTGTGCATTATTTGTGTATATGCACTTTTGTTGCTTGTAAATGTGCAGTTGGGTTATTAAAAGAATGGTCTGCAAAGATAGACCTGTCTAGTTAGGCTTTCTAAATCCACAGCTTGAAAGGTGATGGATTTATGCAGCGTGCAGTAAAAATAAATGCCTCAATGGAGAAGAAAGGATCTGAAGGTGTAACTTTTTTTGAGAGGTGTGCGTTGCAGTGTTGGTAAGGTCTAGTTTAGATCAGTTAGTTAGGCTATGGTTTCATATCCTATCTGCATGCCCATAGCCTGACCATGGCACGTGCTGCAGGTCTCGTCCTGTCCCACCAGCCCCTCTTTGTGTTGGCTCTAGTCATCGGGTGCCTGTGAATGACTTGGAAAGGTCAGGCTGGTTATGGCTTTGATGGAAAAATAAAACCATGTTAGTATTTTGAGGTAGGTGCTGGGCTTGCACAGCAGGGGACATTGAGGAGAGGAGACCCTCCCTTTCTGCAGCTGTCTGGTTTTTGGGATTAAAATTGTATAACGTGGGACCACACCCTAGTGCCGTCGCTCCGGGAGCCTCGGGAAGCTCGCGGGAAGGAGCTGCGCAGCGCTCCCCAGCCACTCGTTTCCACCTTTGTGTCTCGCCTTTGTGCCCACACGAGTGTTTGTACAGCTGCGTGTGAAGAGCGCTGGGACCAGGCTGAAGAGCAGCCACCGGGTTTCCTGGTCCTGGGTCAGTGCCCTGGTCCGCAGCGCAGCAGAGCTGGCGCCTTCAGCAGAGCCCTGGCTGCACCGTTTTATACTGCAGACTTTTTAAAAAATACAATTTTCTGTCTTTGGCCGTTTTAAGATAAAAAAAAAAGGATCCTTTTCTCAATATTTTAATGCATCTGTTAGCAGACACACATTTGAAAATGAATGGCTTCATCTTATTTGTTTTTATAGTACTCAGATTTATCTGTACAAGATACAGTTCATATTCTTTTTAATGTGTTTTATTCTAAATCAGAGATGTTCTTATAGCTTTACATCCTGGATCTGGTCTGTTTTTTGTCTTTGCACATTTCATTGGAGAATCATCATGTGAGAAACTTACGTTTTTGATACTCTTTTACAATTTCTGACCCATTATAAGAGCAGGGATTTCAAGTGGTTGTAAAGACAATTTTGTTCCCTTCTCTTCCCCCAAGTAGGTGCATGTCTGCTAGAAACAAAAACCACAACTTAGTAGTTATTTACTGTCTGTGTTCCTACTTGATTGTACTGGATTTAGTCCTGTTTACTTCAAAGGGTGGAAGACAGAGCTTGAGTCACTCAGTGAATCTGAATTAAAGGTATAAAATGTGAATTTGTGCCAATATCCAACTTTTAAAAGTCATCGCTTAGTTTGTGTTATAGTCCTGGCCTACTGTGTCTGAGGTAAGTGCAAGCAGCAAAACATGGCAAGTGTGAGCTATCATTTTCTAATGCACTTTTGGTACTAAAGAGGTGGGCTTGAAGTAGTACTTTACATTAACACAGCGAGCAGAGGAGACGTGAGATTAAGTCTTCACTGGAGTTTAGAAATACTTGACACTTCCCAGCAGATTTCAGTGAGTTTATGGGGAAAGAAAGGGTTTTCTTTTCCACTTCCAGGTGGGGAAGCTCAGGTGTGAGGAGGTCAAGTGGCTTTTCCAAGGTCATACAAAGAGGTCAGCATCAGAGTCAGGAATAAAGCCAGCCTGCCCTGGGACAAGATTTTTTTTGTGGATTTCAGTGCTGATCTCTGCTTTGTAATTGCTCAAATGGACTTTTGTTTCTTGTATATTTCTTAGTGTTACCAGAGCTGTTTTGCTGCTCTCCCTTTATGTCTTTGTGGCTTAAGGTAAGAGCACTGCTGTGTGAAAATGTCCAAGTCAGTTGTCTTAGGTTTGCTGCAGGCTGATAATGGCTAAATAATTAGGAAAGGACACTGCATCTCTCTCTCTCTCTCTTTCTCTTTTTTTTCTTTTTTTTTAATGTTTCCATGTAATGCATTCTTGAAGAGAGATATTTTGGACGGTAAATATTTTGAAATAAAGTAATGGCAGTTCTCAGCCCAGAAGACTTTAGTTCTAGAGGCTTTTTGCCAGTTTTGGGACAAGACATACGTGATATCAGGTTGAGGCATCTTTTCCTCCTGTTGGAGTAAGGCCTAAGAAAGGTGTTCAGGATAGTGGTTAGGAAGCAGATTGTCACAAACTTTGTACTCCAGAGAGAGTAAGAATTTGTTAATTGGAGCAAAATAATCATTTTTCCACAACTGTTATTTTGACTAGTCTTCACATCGCTAAACAATAATTTAGGCAGATTTTATCCTAAGGTAATTTTTTTAAAGTAGCTATATGTCACAAATCGTGTCAATGGTGTTTTGATACTGTATGCAACTGTAGATGGTTGTGTGATTTTTTTTTTTTTTTTTTTTGGACTATGTTAAGAATTGGAGTAATTGTCCTTGCAGAAGGAAATTGGGGTTTTGTTGCACAAATTTGTCGTCAGAAGTTGAGGAAAGATGTGTGGTTCCTTAGGAAATTACACTATGAAACATACTAGTTTGCAAGTACTTATTTCAGAAAAAAATTGAATCCTGCAATATATAAATAGGAACTGTAGCTGTAATATATAAACAGGAAACATCAAATTTTCTACTTATTTACTTGAAAATGTTTTCTTCTTTTTCCTGAAGAAGCTCAAATATTTTGAAATATTACTGTTTTATGTATGTAGCTCTTCTTTGGGATAAGTGTTCTTTAAAAACAATCTTTACTGCACAGACCATTTAAGATGTAAACTTTCTGGTAGTTGCACTTTTTAAGTGTTTCTTGAAATTCTTCTCTCAGCACTGTTTTAGTTCCATTTTAGTCCAATTTAATTTGTTGTGTGTTTGAAAACTGGCCATCAATAAAATCGTGTAATAAGTGAAGCGATGGATAGGATAGTTTTATTATTTTTTTACTTGCAAGATCCTGCTTATAGTGTATGTTCGGTTAACACTATTCAGTGTCACCATCTAGTAGTGATATATTAATATTTTCAGAGGTTAAAGGGTTTTGTGACATACAAGTTGTGTGGCTCTCTTTATTGAGTTACATTTCATGGATTATAAAATACACTCACAGACCAAATTTCTATCTAATGTACTTATGCAGAATTTCCAAGGAACATGTGTGGTATTTATCCAGCAAGTAAGCAGACTGATTTTTCTGCTTGAGAGTCTACTGAGGATTCAAGAAAACAAGGTCCAAGAATTTAAAAGCACCTTTTATCGTCTCAACATTTTTAAAAACAAGCAACAACCTTCCTTCCCTCTCTCAAAAAATACTAAAAAAGTAAATCACTAGATACCTTAACAAGTTGTTTCAAAATATGAGACACTTTGTAAAAAAGAAAAAAAAAACTTTCTGCAATATTTGACAGTATGATTCAGTATAATATGTTGAAATAAGTAAACATAATATCTCTTAGTGTATTCTCTGGAGTTATTCTCAGTGAGTTTGTAATTTTTTTTTTTCTGCAGAGAACATTATTTTTTGGGAGCACTTCAAAATGTCCCAGGCTTCGTGCCTTCAAAGTAGACTCTGTGCCTAAATTTATTATGTGCTTTTGGAGTGATCTGATACAACTCTAGGGATTCCAAGCAGCCAGTATATGAATAATAGTCTATTCTCTCTCTCTCTCTCTCTCTCTCTCTCTCTCTCTCTCTCTCTCTCTCTCTCTCTCTCTCTCTCTCTCTTTCTCTCAATCTCTCTTTTTCTATTCTTTTTTTTCCCCCTAATACAAATGCATAATGAATGCATAGACTACTAGAAAATAGATTCCTGTAAAAAACAAGTGTCTCGTATTTTGCTAATAGGTCTTAACTGAGAGTTGGCATTCAGAGTTAAATTGGTAATCATTTGACAAGTGAATACGGAATGTATCCTTTTGACAGTGTTATTTTGCTGTTGTATATTTCTGCACTTTTTAAGAAAATCAAAATATCATTCTGTGATGAGTTTGCTTTCTTTGCAGGCATATTTTCAGAAATCCCCAAAATCTCTTTTAATGAGAAATTGTAGCTGCTTTTCTTCTATGACAATTACAGGCTATGTGGTTTGCCTCCCTATGAGGAGGATTATTACTGAAGTGTAATAATTAAAGCTCAAGCATATTAAATCTGTATTTTTTTTACTTTGTGCTGTACTTTGGTACAGATTAATACTTTTTAAACAGAAATTCTTTTAGGTATTCAGCATATTATTTTGAAAAGAGTAACTAATAAAGGTGAAGAGGTAAAAAAGTAAACAAGGTCATAGTCTTGAAATCTTTTAAACTAGTAGCTTAAAAATATTATTTCTAAATCTAGTTTACAGATCTTTTCTCCTCTGTCATTCACTAAATTACAGGCTACTGTTACGTGTGCATTTTTTGAATAGTGGTTGGGAACTGAACAGTGTAAGTAAATGCAACGTTTTTTAATGTCATT